ATAAGTGCAATAATCTTGGACGCGACGTTAAACCCAATTTCACCTCACCTCACCTTCCTTGATTGCATTTAGGATTAGAACGGTATCGATGCAACTACGACAGCATGGTATTCATGCCTTCAGACCGTACAGCGGAATAACATTGACGCCTGAACGACGTCAAAGATTGAGGTGGACACGGACCGTCACACAATGGTAGAACAGAAACTGGGAACGGGTATTCTTTTCAGACGAAAGTCGATTCAAGCTCGTAAGTCCTGACCGTAGAGTTCGTATTCACCGTCGACGTGGAGTGTTGCTGCATTTGGGATGTCAGTAGCGTCATTGTTTGGGGCCGCAGTCTACCTCAAGTCATTCGACCTCTCATGTCCTCCGCTCGCCGTCGAGTTGGAGCCTGCATTCATGCCCGTTGTGGGAACGCACGACATTAAACGGTTTACTAAATGTATTCTTGAATGATCGAATACCGGACAACTTACCCAACCTTCAGGATTGTGCCCAAATAGGCTTCATTTAACTTACCATTGAATAATTTATGATAATGGAAAATGAGGAATTTGGCAATTGCAACTATCATGTCTCAACTGATCGTCATATCTTGCTTCGTGTAGTGTCTATTGTTCGTGAGTGTATGTAGTTCGAAGTTCGTTCGTATCTCAATTTGGAAATCAAATATGGCTGCCAGCAAGATACTCGAAAATACGAAACAAAATATTCGTTATCTGTCGTAGGCATCTCCTCAAACTGACGACGATGAAACTTCACATGCTTCTTTCCACAAATGAGGACAAGTCAACTTTTTCAAGATTTGTGGCCAGTACATTAATTTGTGCATGTTCAGTTAGATGTCGGACACAGCACATACGTTCAATTGCTTGTAAAAATAGTACGTTTTGAGATTTATTTGACCTTCGCGTTTGGACAGTGCGCTTCAATTCTCCCACAATGCATTTCTTTGTAAACATCCTCTCCCCGGAAACCACTAATGCAGTGAAGCTGACATTTCACAGGCTTGTTCCAACGACCCATGGCAACTCAATTTGTTTAAGATTTTAAATATGCCTTTCATCATGGCCTCCCCGAGAATCCTTAATGAAAACCGACTTATAGCCATTGGTCAGCGTAATAAAAAGGGTATTGCGTTAAGTCAGTAGTGAGACTCAACTCACGTGTTCCATTTTTCACATTATTTGTTATGTTACCTTGATTCGACTTTGCTCTTAAATTCTCACAAAATGCATATTTGGCTCTGTAAAAATCTGAAATTTGAAACTGCCAGACTGAGGAAGCATAACTTTGCATGTTTCTCTTTATCGTGAAATTATTTGTTCAAATCATTAGGATTTTAGAATGTTTCCTTAGTCCTCAGTATGTATGGTAGAAAACATGTGCATATCAATGCTGATAGCATATCTGTATAAGTGTCTCTCTTTGTTAGCTACATATCCAGGTGAGCTACAGCGCACCACTTTTATATCTTTCCAGGTACTGTTGACTTTAATTGTGTTTCAAATAGTCAGTTGTTAAAACGTCGTGTATATGCTGTGTACATGAATATAGTGTATGATAGTCAGTTGTTAAAACGTCGTGTATATACTGTGTTCATGAACATGTGGTATGATAGTCAGTTGTTAAAACGTCGTGTATATACTGTGTTCATGAATATAGTGTATGATAGGAATTCGGTTTGTACACGTGAATGTGTGTAAATACACCAACAATAATCATTATTGAACATCTGCGGAAACAAATTCCAAGATCATATAAGGCAAAGCAATGATGACAAGTATATAAATGGATCACTGAAAATCAGTGTTCAAACCAGATGTTCGCGAAAAGGGTAAGCATGTCCTGATCAGACAATTTTCGTGGAAACAAAATATGTCATATTATTTACTAAAGAAGATATATATATCTGTATACGCTTACCATACTGCTATGGGGTTTGAAAGGTTCAGTTCAGTTCACTGAACCTGAGACAGCGTCCCTGGAGATTGTTGTCAGGGCAACTAGTTATTGCTGGATTCAACCACTTCATAGACCCACATATAAGACAAATTCCGTGTTGTTTATATACCCTTATTAAAACTTGCTGAAACTGCGGTTTGTCCTGACCTTGTCTATAAGCATTAACGTAAACACACATCAGAGAGCATATCGCCCGCATTCCCACCAGTTCATCCGGCTATTGCATTACACTGGTGTCGTACACGGGTTTTATCAAGGTCACTTGAGACAGGAAAACGTCCGTGCAAAAGCACACATAAAGCAACATTTTTTTAGAGTTGTTGTACGATCGTATAATATGAAATAGGCTTCACCATGCAGACAATTTTACATTTGCCATCTTCAGATAGTAGGACGATGGTTTTTCGTTACAGTTTTGATACATAAGCAATGAACAGTCCCACCTTGTTTACACGAAATCATCGGAAACTAAGCAGATCACCCGGGTTGTAGTTAGAGGCAAGCAGAGTGTTGATATTAGTCTTAGTCTTAGTGTCGATGTTAGTCTTAGTCTTAGTGTCGATATTAGTCTTAGAGTCCATGGTCCTAGTGTCGATATTAGTCTTAGTCTCAGTGTCGATATTAGTCTTAGTCTCAGTGTCGATATTAGACTTAGAGTCCATAGTCCTGGAGTCGATATTATCTGTGTCGATAGGGATTCTTTGTCACAGTGTTGATATTAGTCACAGTGTGGATAATTGTCTTATTGTCGATATTAGTCTTAGCATGGTCACAAAAAAGTCTTAGTGTCGATATTAGTCAAAGTGTCGATATTAGTCATAGTGTCGATATTAGTCATAGTGTCGATATTAATCATAGTGTCGATATTAATCATAGTGTCTAACTTAATCTCAATGTCAATATTCGTCTTAGTGTCGATATAAGTCGCATCGTCTTTTACAACATATGCAATTACAGGAGGCCGAATTTACGATGTTTCACTGTATGCGTGTATGAGTTGTTATTTCTTGGCCCATATGGGTCTCATAACATACATTCATATATATTACTCAAGCATTGTACAGGGTACGTGTTAGGGTCAAGTCCCATTAATCCGACATTGTTGGTTACATATGATTATGTTGGATAAACGACTCGGAGTATGTCGGATAATCAAAATTAGGTAGTATTAACGTTTGTGATTGAAAATCGGACAACTACACGATAGATAACGATTCAAACACGTAATGAAAAAAGGAAATATTCCTATTGTTATGTTACATTGTTAGCGGAAATGTTTTCTAATCATCAACCTCTATAAATTTTAACATTCAAAATGCATTTTAAAGCATAGTCTCGCATGGAACTCGCCAAATTAAAACTAGTCCCACAATGCTGAAGACTTCCTGTTAGTAATTTCATTGGTCGGGCAAAGTTCGCGAAAGGTCGTTCTGACGTAACCTGTACTAGGATGTCCTCATCGGTAGCGAGAACTTGTATCCGATTTTAAAGAGATTGATGTAATCTAGACATGTGATTCATCATGTTTTGTTTATATTTAAAGCAGTAATTGTATATCGTTAAGCAAGTTTATCTCTGCAGCCGTTGGAAATACAGTGAACTACGGTTATAACGAACACCCTTATAACGAACTGACGGATATAACGAACTTAATTTTTAGTCCCGACTATTTGCTGTAGTTATGCTGTATATATGCTTATAACGAACTACGGTTATAACGAACTAAAATTAGTAGTCCCTATGAGTTCGTTATAACCGTAGTTTACTGTATGCAGCTACTCGCCGATGATTAATTAGCGATTTCAGCAATTCGTAATGATAAGTATAATTCTTCCCAATGTGATTAAGGTTCTAGTATATTCTCACAATGACAATCCAAAGATGTCATATGGCCAACAGAATTCCTAAGAGGAATGTGTGTAGAGCCCGATATGGGTGAACATATTTTTACAGCACACTACTGTATTGTCCTTGTATACTAACGGAAAAAAAGTAACAGTGCTTCATATGAAGATGTGTAAATGTTATGTTATAGAAAATAACACCATGATATTTGATCAGTCGTCTGATTAATGTTTTATCATAACGAATTCATTGACAAAGTCCATACCTGGTACAGAAGGCAGAGGGACACGCCCTAAAGAGGAATGGCTAACAATGTCAATATCGGGTGTGGCCACTATTTGCGTTGATACAGACGAGGCACCTGAGTTAACTTTACCGACTGATTGTGATCCTGTCGTATGCGTCGGTCAATCTCACCCCAGACATGGTCTATGGGGAGAGGTTTGGAGAAGCGACCATCAGAGGAATCCAGATGAAACCTGGACTCACCTTGGAATAGTATACTGACCTATTCTTCTGAACCTAAGATCTTGTTCTCTACACCAAGCTATACGTGCCTGACGGTGACGTGGAAGCGAAATTGGGCCTATCGGAGGACGCCGGCTCCGGATGTTGAGCTGTCTCAACTAGTTGTGTACGGTTCTGCCACTAATTCGCCTCAACCCAGGGATTTTCCTCGCTGTTAAAGTGGCAGTTTGGTATCGATTCCGTAGGTGCACCAACCGAATATGGTCCACTTGTTGACGTGACGTTCCATGTCGACGGCCGACCCGTGGCAAGTCATAAGTGTTGCTCTGTTGTACATAACGTGTTCAAAGAGATTGTGCTTCGATGAACATTAAAATATCTGGCAACTTTGTTGTGCGCCATTCCTGTCTGCAGGACACCCAGACCGCACAGACGTTGATTTTCATCAAGCCGTGGCACTCCGTAAGCGTTATTTACGGTTTAACAAACAAAATAGTTTGTAGGAACCCCTCATGGCTAATGAGTGAGTGAGTGAGTATGGTTTTACGCCGCTTTTAGCAATATTCCAGCAATTTCACGGCGGGGGACACCAGAAATCGGCTCCTGATAGCTAAACAATCGTGTGTGAGTATCATGCTCAAAACGAACACGCAAATATCCAAATCGTTCGCCATGCAGAAACAGGGCACGTGAAAATTGTGAAGGACGACCTTAAAGTCGAAGAGATACATATATTTTTATTGAAATTTATATGAAGCACAGCTACTCCGTTATTGTATGATACTGTGTCTATGTTTACATGCTACGAAAGTCAAAACATACAAATGAAGACTTGAGTCTATATCTATGTATCCACTGTAAAGGGAGGCAATTAGAGGATGAATTTCATGTTTTGTTTATATGTTCAAAATATTCTTCTGTCAGAAACCACTATTTGCCTTGGTTATCCAATGTCCATCATGATAATCACAGTTTCTGTAATCTACTCAACTCCAAAAATATCAACATTGTAAAGGCTTTGGCCTTATACTTAAATCATGTATTTAATGAGAAATAAGACTACTTGTATTTATTTTCCAGACATCACGTGACGCTGCAATTATTGTAATTGTAATTGTACTCTAGGCCACATGGCTCAAAATACTGAATAAAGAACCTTGATCTTGACCTTGATCTATGTTTCGTTTATATATGTATTCCCAAAGGTTACCCCGAACCATCGCTAGATACTACTGCACCAGGTATAAGTACACAGATAGAACCTGGTGACACATTTTAACCCAACGGAACTATAGTATTGACTTTTGTCATCCAATGGTTCATTTAACACATATTGCAGCTGCATCTGATTAACCCTGCATACCTAACACTACAGATCCACGGGAAATGGCTGGAAACTTTTACTGTTTATTTCATCATCTCGGAAGATTGGTGGTCAGGATTCCTCTGAAAGTTTCACCCGCGAAACACTTCTGCAGGTGCACCACGTGATCCAAGGCCGGTAACTCTGAACAACGAACCATCCTGGGAGTCGATCAGTGGAAATCTGGCGCTTGTAGGATGCATTTTCAGACTTGTGACATAGAGCTCGTCAAGGTTCTTTCCGCCCCAACACACAGAGGTGATTCTAGTTGCGTCGGGTATGTCCACTGTCTGCAACAGCTTTCCTGAAGAACAAATGCCATTGTACAGCTTAAGTTCACCATAGGATAAAGAAACAATATCATACAGTTTTTTTCTTCTCACAGAGTAATTAAATTCATAAAGTTCACATTCCTTTTGGACTGGAGACACTATCCGACCATTGCATGACATGTTTGATTCAATACCACTATATGATTCTCCTCGTTACAAAACAAATAAATAATAAATAATAAAGTATGTTTCGTTCCCATAATCATGTTTTCAAAGTTCGAGGGTGTGAGTCTAACTTTGAAAGAGGTATAGTATTATAGTACAGTTTGAGTGAGTGAGTGCAATATCACGGTTGGGGGACACCAGAAATGGGCTTCACACATTGTACCCATGTCGGGAATCGAACCCGGGTATTCGGCGTGACGAGTGAGCGCTTTAACCACTAGGCTACCCGACTGCCCCTAGTACAGTTTGAATGTACAATACAATACTGTCCATTTGAACCAAATACACAACCAGGGAGCATGTCTGAAGGCATCAAAGTGACTAGGTATTCTCTGTTGATTAAAATAGACAACACTTGCTGTCATCAAGTATCTAGAACTGAACTCCAAGTAACTCAAACATATATCAATGCAGAGAGGTGGCAACTTTAAGGGATGACGCTCCTTCCTTTGCCACTGTTAAGAGGTGGGCAGGGAGTTCACGGGGGAAAGAGAGAGCCTCGAAGATGATCCAAAATCAAGAAGACCTTGACCTACCACCACCGGGGAAAATGATGATACAATACATGAAGGGAGTATGGGTGATCGACGACTCACCACACGTCACATAGCCAACACAATAGACATCTCACATGAGAGAGTTGAGAACATTCTACAGAAAGCTGGGCAGAGGTTACAGCACGCGGGTTCCAAGGCTTCTGATTCCCGGTTAATCATCTGTCGTGAGATTTTACGCCGTTCTTAAGCAGATTCTGCTCATTCCGTTGAGCGAGTTGTAACCATGGATATATCTTGGGTTTACCACAATCAGCCTGAGAGTGAACAGCAGTCAAATCTGTGGACACATCTAACGTCTTATCCTCCAAAGCAGGCGAAATCTGTCCCACCTGCTTACAAAGTGATGGTTTCAGTTTTCTGGGATCCTCAAAGACTTCTATTATTATTATGTTGAAATATAGCGCATCCATCAACGCATCCATCATAGTAAGGCTCATAACATTTCAGCAAATTCGACACTATTATTTCCACAGGTGGCCTAGCCCCATTCGTAAAACAGAATGTATTCTATACGTACATATTTTGACATAATTAACTTGTGGAAAACTGAAATGGAAAGATACATGACGTAATTCCCTAATTCTTTTATTGTTACAAATATTTTGTATTTGGGATTACACTTTCTCAGTAAAGTACAAGCCCCATCCGAGATTCGAACCCACAATCTCAGTGTGAGGCACCTACTTGCCAGCACACAAAGTCAGCGATCTAACCCACTCAGACAACGAGGCTTTCACAAAAATGGAAGTCCGACAACTGGTAGTCCAGATCACGTACATTGTGTACCCCTCTGACAAGTGTACATTGGCAAGGCTCCCATGATCGTAGTCCTTTCAGAAAGTGGTCACATGTAACAAATGTTATATTTTGGATGACACTTTCTTAGTAACGTAAAAGTGCCAGTACCAATCCGGGATTCGAACCCACACTCTCAGAGTGAGGCACCTAATCGCCAGCCCACAAATTCAGCGATCTAACCCACTCAGTCACCGAGTGTTTTTCAGTCGCTGATGTAGCTCACCTGAATTTGGTTCAATTTTAGCCACACATCCGCCATTGAGGCAGGCCACCCACAGATTTCCGTCTGTGTCAGTCGTCATGCCGTCAGGGCCTATGACGTTCTCGCCGCTCAGTTCGGGGATGTCTTTGAAATTAACCACAACTCGACGACTGGCTGAAATACAGACCATACATTGACTAAAAGCACTGGTGTTAGTACATTACGAGTCATCGCCATTACCATACATGTATTTATCTTCATATTCATTGTATTTATTTAATATATTTGACAGACCTCCAGAGTATTACCTACATTACCCTATGACAGTAGGATGTTAACTATATTGCCCTGTGACAGTAGGATGTTAACAATATTGCCCTATGACAGTATGATGTTAACTATATTGCCCTGTGTTGGTATGATGTTACATGTACCTATATTGCCTGTGTCAGTATGATGTTACCTTTATTGCCTGTGTTGGTATGATGTTACCTGTATTGCCTGTGTCAGTATGATGTTACCTGTATTGCCTGTGTCGGTATGATGTTACCTGTATTGCTTGTGTCAGTATGATGTTACCTATATTGCCTGTGTCGGTATGATGTTACCTATATTGTCTGTGTAAGTATGATGTTACCTATATTGCCCTGTGTCGGTATGATGTTACCTTTAATACCTGTGTCGGTATGATGTTACCTTTAATACCTGTGGCGGTAAGATGTGACCTATATTGCCTGTGTCAGTATGATGTTACCTATATTGCCTGTGTCGGTATGATGTTACCTATATTGCCTGTGTCAGTGTGATGTTACCTATATTGCCTGTGTCAGTATGATGTTACCTATATTGCCTGTGTCAGTATGATGTTAACTATATTGCCTGTGTCAGTATGATGTTACCTATATTGCCTGTGTCGGTATGATGTTACCTTTAATACCTGTGTCGGTAAGATGTTACCTTTAATACCTGTGTCGGTAAGATGTGACCTATATTGCCTGTGTCAGTATGATGTTACCTATATTGCTTGTGTCAGTATGATATTACCTGTATTGCCTGTGTCAGTATGATATTACCTGTATTGCCTGTGTCAGTAGGATGTTACATATATTACCTATGATTTTACCTATATTGCTTGTGTCAGTAGGATGTTACATATATTACCTATGATGTTACCTATATTGATCTGTGACTGTAGGATGTTACCTTTAATACCTGTGTCAGTATGATGTTACCTTTAATACCTGTGTCAGTATGATGTTACCTTTAATACCTGTGTCAGTATGATGTTACCTTTAATACCTGTGGTGGTGTGATGTTACCTATGATGATCTTGTAACAAAGGACAGGCTAAGGAACATTGTCGAGTGATCCTCATACGTATTTCAGCCAACAGTTACAAATGTCAAGGTGACATCTCGACGCTTATTGACAGAGAATGAGGGTCAAGTCGTGTAGATTCTGGTTGCACGTTTTCTTGCCGTGCAGCGTGCCCTGAGTCACAGCGTGTACCATGAGTTATGCAATGTAGATGGTGTCAGGTGTTTTATACTGTGATCGAAGTCCTGTGTGTGTGATGTGTCTGAAATGTGCTATTTGTGCGCATGTCTTAGTACTAATGCACGGAATGTATATGTGACACACGGTGACCATACCCCTCCGTGGTCTGATGGATAGAGCGTCTGCCCGGAGATCAGAGGGTCGGGAGTTCGATCCCCTGCCCGCGAGATACCAATTGACGTTAAAAAGACGTTATGTCGTGTTAATGATGTTTACCGTTTGGTCATATTTTGACATCTTCCCGAGGCAAGAGAGTTAACTGACTTTAAAAGTTTCCAGTTTCCACCCTTGCCGATCTAGGCTGGAATTCCTGGGCTCGATCGTAGCGCCACCAGTGGCTATTACGTGTTATGTCTTTTCTATGCCTCTCCTATTGACTAATCAGATTCAACCTCTCGTATCACTTGCATTTGTTTCAAACAAAACGGTGGCGCCCAGTCAAGACGATCTGATCGATAATCAAGATCTATATTGTGATAAAACGAGTCTTACATAGCGAAGTGCATCAAATCACGTGAGCACCTTGATTAAAAACATGAAAAGATTTAGAAAATATCTGTTGACAACGAGTTAGCGGTGCACATGCTTTGTAAATCCTGCAGTCGAACGAAATCGGCATGACACTATACGAACCGGGTTCCGATTTCGGTGTTCGATTTTGATTGGACTATGCATAGACTCGTTAGTCCAGCCAAAATGTAACTCCATAATACCAGCCTAGTTCGGCAATGATGGAAACTAGACTTTTATAGTCAGTTAACTCACTTGCCTCGGGAAGATGTATTTTGACTGCCCGTATATATATTTGGATGTCGCGATACTCACATATGTTTCCCGTATCGTTGTCGTAGTCGTAGGCGTATACTTCGCGAGGTGTTGTGTCGATGAAGTACATGGTCTTGTTGTCCGGGGACCACGCCATGCCATTAGAAATGGTCAGGTTCTCCTCCTTCTTGGTGACACTTCCGTTAGTGTCCATGCAGTACAGCTTACCCTTGTTGGGCGCCAGCTGTCTGTCGATTGTACCTGAAGCGATAGATACTACATTCATAAAACATCCTTTCCCCAGTATAGTAGAAACTCTATGGCCAATCTCGTGGACCCACTTTGACATTGAATAACTGAGTGTCAACCCATCTATTGAATCTAGGGGTACCATCTTAAGTCATCAGTACTTCTGTACGTTCTTCACAGAATTATGAGGGCCCCGCTGACGTGGCTGGGTGGGAGTGTTAATACTTAACATCAACAATAGTTCAGCCATATATGGATATGAGTGAGTTAGTGAGTTGAGTTTAACGCCGCTTTTAACATTATTCCAGTTATATCACGGCGTGTCAGCTTAATGTGGGAGGAAAGCCCGAAGTGACGCAGGTCTCATTCGTTTACCACTTCGGTGCAACCCACGAGCACGGGTATGGTGCTGACAAACCTAGAAACGTAATCGGGGCAAACCGGGATTCGAACCAACAATCATAGGTTTCTGGCGTGCCCAAGGGACGCAACTCTGCACAGCGAATCGCGGCGCCTTAGACAACTGGTCCACCCGGGCCCCCATATATAGATATGAACACATTATACATCCATGAGGTGGGGTGAGGTTTAGTGACGTTTAACGTGCACATATATAGAGGTTTTAATATATAATAATATATATAATGCCGGTTTTGTAGTGCTGGCCCACTGAGAAACCATTCCGCAGTTTAAACATGAATACCCGAATCAGACAAAGTATACTGATTCCGAGCCGACCAGTCTTTGTTTTATCCCTTTAATGCCGAGAGCCAGGCAGGGTAACAACAACTACCATCTTTTAACATCTTGCGACCTTCCCCCCTCCGAGCTGACACAATATCCACGAGGCGTCGGAGGCGGTCCGTCCATAAGAAGATACGGGCCCCATCACACAGACAAAAACTATGCAGCCCATGTTTGAGGTCTGTGTATAACAATCGCGAGGGTAGGCCTGATCTACTCTACTGATCAGGATCCACTGACCTGCCCACAGCCTCCCTCTAGCGTCACACTTCCCGTCGTTCAGCTTGTTGTTCGTTCCAGGATCTACCTCCGCCAGTTTAGTCACCGCCTTCGTCTCCCAGTCCACTGATACAAACGCCTGGCCGAGCCCTGCTACCAGTCCCCCCTTGCCGCGAGGAACAACGAACCCCACATTATCGCCGACTGAAACAAGAGGAATTGATACAATACAGTTACTAAATATGTATTTAAGCCAAGAACTATTATTTTTGTATATGAATCATGTCTAACGTTCGACAAGTACAGATATATACAGACGTTGGAATAACAAGGGTTATTGCTTTTGGTAATGATGACGAGAGATATGTGTGTGTGTGTGTGTGTGTGTGTGTGTGTGTGTGTGTGTGTGTGTGTGTGTGTGTGTGTGTGTGTGTGTGTGTGTGTTTTGAATATGTTGTACTCTCGTGTGTGTGTGTGTGTGTGGGGGGGGGGGGGGGGGGGGGGGGGGGAGGTGTGGTTGGGTGGTTGAGGGTCTATGTGTATGAGAGAGACATGCAGACATTGTTTTGTATGTGTGGTTGGTAGTGTTGTAGTGTTGTGGCATTTTATAGCAATGTCATACTGTTCAATGTTGATACTCTGTCAATGTCTGACTGATACTGTTTAATGTTGATATTCCTATGTTTATGTATGACTGATACTGTTTAATGTTGATATTCCTATGTTAATGTATAGATGTTGTTTTCGCGACTTCTTGAGAATACGTGTGATGTATCTATCAACTGTACCAGCTCACCTAGATGGATGAAGTCGACTTTGCCAGTGACGGGGTCGTATCTGTGAACGTCTCCCTTGAGAATATCAACGTAGAGCAACGTCTGCGTGGCGTCGTCCCAGTGTGGACTTTCGCCGATGGTGGACGCAGCGTCCTTTAGAACCGTTTCAACCTTGTAGGACATCCTGGGTCGGTCAGACGTACAGAAGCACTTCCTTGTCTACATGCAAAGCGAACCACTGGTGATCTCATAACATAGGGCGTCAGATACTGATAGTAACATTATGGTGACAATACAAATGTATGTTTCTATTATCGATGCATAACAGCTTAAATTTGACATGGACAGACCATTCTGCAAACCCTATGGATCCCCTGTGCGTGTGTTCGTTTGTTTGTTGAATTACGTCTCAGGCAGCAGTATTCCAGACATATTCAGTCAACGAGCCTGACTACCTGATCCTATAGTCGCTTCGGTCGACAAGCTACAGCGTGTTATAATTACCGTGACCGAAATTTAACTGATTTTTATACTGTTCAAAGTTGCGTTGAACCAAACTCACTCGTACACGGATTCATAACAAAGACAGGTTAAAATCAGTGTAAAATGTCTCTAAACTTGCACATTGAAGCTGTAACAGGCAGCATACTCACCTAGCGCGTCAAAATGTCGGATTTGTCCTTGACGCTGATGGCGTGACTCGGTGCTTTCACTTGTCAAACGCTATCCTGGTCTAAGCCCTTGGCCTTGAGAATGATAACACAGATCAGACTATAATCGTATGTTATTCGCGTTTGTCCCATGTGCCGTTATCATGTTGAAGTGAAGGCCATACAGCCATATATGGGACATGCTTGCAGTGTTATGCATGACAACAGTTCTCTGCCCACCAGTGTGATTAGATAATCCCGAACAATGCTACGTTTTTTGAAACAGCATGTCATCCACGAGATGGGCACAGCTGCACTTATTTTACCGTATCTTATGATAATCTTATCGTTGTCTTCTATCACGAATGTGTTTGTGTGTTTGTTCGTTTGTTGTTTAACGCTTCACCCATCAATATTCCAGCCACATGATGGCGGTCTGTAAATAAAAGATCCTGTGCAGGACAGTCCGATGCTTAACATCATAGGCATCGATCTGCTCAGTTGGAATACGACGACATGCATCCACCATGTCAGCGAGCCCGACCACCAGATCCCGTTGGTCGCCTCTTGGGACAAGCACGGGTTGCTGAAAAAACAACTGTAACCCGGAATTTCAAGGGGGATCTGTCGGCTGATCGAAGAGCGTCGTACATGGCCATCTCTTTACAACTAATTTGACAAAAACACCTTATACAGGTGCTGATAAGTACTTAGGGAGGCAAGGCCGTAGTTAACTTCTTCTTCTTCTTTTTTTTGGGGGGGGTGGATTTTGTATAAGTATCAAGTTCAAGTTAACAGTCCCAAGGAAAAAGGTTTTAAACAAACAAAAAATCAATATCGACAAATCCGCCCATCTCCGTAAAACCTCACTCACTCACTCACTCTTAATATTACAACCTGCAAAGAAAGGACAGTAAAATAACCAGCAACAGTTATAACCAGTTGGAGAACTCTAAACATATTCACATAACACCTTGATCAGCCGGTGATTATGGTTAAGCACACAAAGGCTCGTGATTAATCTCAAGTAGCAATGCGCATACTTTTACTGATGTGATCTCACATAACACTCTGGGGAGAATGTTTGCTACGTTAGCCCCTTCGTTGGTACAATCAGGGAGGTTGTGTAAGATAAACTCCTAGGGACAATCACTAATAATTTTAGCTAGTTATTTTACTCTATCAAATTATAACCTGACCGGGGAGGTTGGGTGCCTAGTAGTTGAAGCGTTCGTTCGTCACCCCGGGTTCTATATTCGGGTTCGATTCCCCACATGGGTACAATGATTGCGTGAAACACATCTTTTTATGTGCCCCGTCGTCATATATTGAATATTGTTAAAAAACACTCACTATAACTGACATTTAAAAAATGATATAAGAATATCAACCAGAGTTAGGATTATAGTTCATATTCTCAAAATAACCCACATATCTATAAAAATAGGATTATGGGATATATAAGATTTTGTTTTTGTTTGTTTGTTGTTTAACGCCGGACTCAGCAATATTCCAGCTGTATGACGGCGGTCTGTAAATAATCGAGTCTGGACCAGCCAATCCAGTGATTGACATCATGAGCATCGATCTACGTAACTGGGATACGGTGACATGCATCAACCAAGTCAGCGAGCCTGACCACCCGATCCCGTTAGTCGCCTCTTACGACAAGAATGGGTTGCTGAAGACTATATTCTACCACGGACTCCATATGACGGCGGTATGTACATAACCAGACAATCCAGTGATTATGAGCATCGATCTACTCAATTGGGAAAATTCGATTTTTTTCGCGTAATTTCGACTTTATTCTCATTATTTCAATTATTTTCGCGAATTTTCTACATTTAATATTTGAGCAAATATTCAGATTTTAGAGACAAGCGCTGTAACGTGAAAAAACTCAAAGCAATTAATTAATAACGAGTAGAAATTCGAAATTTCGAGTTTTTAAAATAAATTTGAAATAAAAAAAAATAATCGAAATTACGAGAGAAACAAACTCGATTATTTAAGCAACGAGAAATGTACATGATTACAACAGGCTTCACATATATGTACATGATTACAACTGGCTTCACGTATATGTACATGATTACAACTGGCTTCACTTATATGTACCTGATTACAACTGGCTTCACTTATATGTACATGATTACAACTGGCTTCACTTATATAAACATGATTACAACTGGCTTCACTTATATGTACATGATTACAACTGGCTTCACTTATATGTACGTGATTACAACTGGCTTCACTTATATGTGTATGATTACAACTGGCTTCACTTATATGTACGTGATTACAACTGGCTTCACCTATATGTACGTGATTACAACTGGCTTCACTTATATGTACGTGATTGCAACTGGCTTCACTTATATGTACATGATTACAACTGGCTTCACTTATATGTACATGATTACAACTGGCTTCACTTATATGTGTATGATTACAACTGGCTTCACTTATGTGTACGTGATTACAACTGGCTTCACCTATATGTGTATGATTGCAACTGGCTTCACTTATATGTACATGATTACAACTGGCTTCACTTATATGTACATGATTACAACTGACTTCACTTATATGTACATGATTACAACTGGCTTCACGTATATGTACATGATTACAACTGGCTTCACTTATATGTACATGATTACAACTGGCTTCACTTATATGTACATGATTACAACTGACTTCACTTATATGTACATGATTACAACTGGCTTCACTTATATGTGTATGATTACAACTGGCTTCACTTATGTGTACGTGATTACAACTGGCTTCACCTATATGTGTATGATTGCAACTGGCTTCACTTATATGTACATGATTACAACTGGCTTCAATTATATGTACATGATTACAACTGGCTTCACTTATATGTACATGATTACAACTGGCTTCACTTATATGTACATGATTACAACTAGCTTCACTTATATGTACATGATTACAACTGGCTTCACTTATATGTACATGATTACAACTGGCTTCACTTATATGTACATGATTACAACTGGCTTCACGTATATGTACATGATTACAACTGGCTTCACGTATATGTACATGATTACAACTGGCTTCACGTATATGTACATGATTACAACTGGCTTCACGTATATGTACATGATTACAACTGGCTTCACATATATGTACATGATTACAACTGGCTTCACGTATATGTACATGATTACAACTGACTTCACTTATATGTACATGATTACAACTGGCTTCACTTATATGTACATGATTACAACTGGCTTCACGTATATCTACATGATTACAACTAGCTTCACTTATATGTACATGATTACAACTGGCTTCACTTATATAAACATGATTACAACTGGCTTCACTTATATGTACATGATTACAACTGGCTTCACGTATATGTACATGATTACAACTGGCTTCACGTATATGTACATGATTACAACTGGCTTCACGTATATGTACATGATTACAACTGGCTTCACGTATATGTACATGATTACAACTGGCTTCACTTATATGTACATGATTACAACTGGCTTCACGTATATGTACATGATTACAACTGACTTCACTTATATGTACATGATTACAACTGGCTTCACTTATATGTACATGATTACAACTGGCTTCACGTATATGTACATGATTGCAACTGGCTTCACGTATATGTACATGATTATAACTGGCTTCACTTATATGTACATGATTACAACTGGCTTCACTTATATGTACATGATTACAACTGGCTTCACTTATATGTACATGATTACAACTGGCTTCACGTATATGTACATGATTGCAACTGGCTTCACGTATATGTACATGATTATAACTGGCTTCACTTATATGTACATGATTACAACTGGCTTCACTTATATGTACATGATTACAACTGGCTTCACTTATATGTACATGATTACAACTGGCTTCACGTATATGTACATGATTGCAACTGGCTTCACTTATATGTACATGATTGCAACTGGCTTCACGTATATGTACATGATTACAACTGGCTTCACTTATATGTACATGATTACAACTGGCTTCACTTATATGTACATGATTACAACTGGCTTCACTTATATGTACATGATTGCAACTGGCTTCACTTATATGTACATGATTACAACTGGCTTCACTTATATAAACATGATTGCAACTGGCTTCACTTATATAAACATGATTACAACTGGCTTCACTTATATGTACATGATTACAACTGGCTTCACTTATATGTACATGATTACAACTGGCTTCACTTATATAAACATGATTGCAACTGGCTTCACGTATATGTACATGATTACAACTGGCTTCACGTATATGTACATGATTGCAACTGGCTTCACTTATATGTACATGATTACAACTGGCTTCACTTATATAAACATGATTGCAACTGGCTTCACGTATATGTACATGATTACAACTGGCTTCACTTATATGTACATGATTACAACTGGCTTCACTTATATGTACATGATTACAACTGGCTTCACTTATATGTACATGATTACAACTGGCTTCACTTATATGTACATGATTGCAACTGGCTTCACTTATATAAACATGATTGCAACTGGCTTCACGTATATGTACATGATTACAACTGGCTTCACTTATATGTACATGATTACAACTGGCTTCACTTATATAAACATGATTGCAACTGGCTTCACGTATATGTACATGATTACAACTGGCTTCACGTATATGTACATGATTACAACTGGCTTCACTTATATGTACATGATTGCAACTGGCTTCACTTATATGTACATGATTACAACTGGCTTCACTTATATAAACATGATTGCAACTGGCTTCACTTATATAAACATGATTGCAACTGGCTTCACGTATATGTACATGATTACAACTGGCTTCACTTATATGTACATGATTACAACTGGCTTCACTTATATAAACATGATTGCAACTGGCTTCACGTATATGTACATGATTACAACTGGCTTCACTTATATAAACATGATTACAACTGGCTTCACTTATATGTACATGATTACAACTGGCTTCACTTATATGTACATGATTACAACTGGCTTCACTTATATGTACATGATTACAACTAGCTTCACTTATATAAACATGATTGCAACTGGCTTCACTTATATGTACATGATTACAACTGGCTTCACGTATATGTACATGATTGCAACTGGCTTCACTTATATGTACATGATTACAACTGGCTTCACTTATATGTACATGATTACAACTGGCTTCACTTATATGTACATGATTACAACTGGCTTCACTTATATAAACATGATTGCAACTGGCTTCACGTATATGTACATGATTGCAACTGGCTTCACTTATATGTACATGATTACAACTGGCTTCACTTATATAAACATGATTACAACTGGCTTCACGTATATGTACATGATTACAACTGGCTTCACTTATATAAACATGATTACAACTGGCTTCACTTATATGTGTATGATTACAACTGGCTTCACTTATGTGTACGTGATTACAACTGGCTTCACTTATGTGTACATGATTACAACTGGCTTCACTTATGTGTACATGATTACAACTGGCTTCACGTATATGTACATGATTACAACTGGCTTCACTTATATGTACATGATTACAACTGGCTTCACTTATATAAACATGATTACAACTGGCTTCACTTATATAAACATGATTACAACTGGCTTCACGTATATGTACATGATTGCAACTGGCTTCACTTATATGTACATGATTACAACTGGCTTCACTTATATGTACATGATTACAACTGGCTTCACGTATATGTACATGATTACAACTGGCTTCACGTATATGTACATGATTACAACTGGCTTCACGTATATGTACATGATTACAACTGGCTTCACTTATATGTACATGATTACAACTGGCTTCACTTATATGTACATGATTACAACTGGCTTCACTTATATGTACATGATTACAACTGGCTTCACTTATATGTACATGATTGCAACTGGCTTCACTTATATAAACATGATTGCAACTGGCTTCACGTATATGTACATGATTACAACTGGCTTCACTTATATGTACATGATTACAACTGGCTTCACTTATATAAACATGATTGCAACTGGCTTCACGTATATGTACATGATTACAACTGGCTTCACTTATATAAACATGATTACAACTGGCTTCACTTATATGTACGTGATTACAACTGGCTTCACTTATATGTACATGATTACAACTGGCTTCACTTATATGTACATGATTACAACTGGCTTCACGTATATGTACATGATTACAACTGGCTTCACTTATATGTACATGATTACAACTGGCTTCACTTATATAAACATGATTGCAACTGGCTTCACTTATATGTACATGATTACAACTGGCTTCACGTATATGTACATGATTACAACTGGCTTCACTTATATGTACATGATTGCAACTGGCTTCACTTATATAAACATGATTACAACTGGCTTCACTTATATAAACATGATTACAACTGGCTTCACTTATATAAACATGATTACAACTGGCTTCACGTATATGTACATGATTGCAACTGGCTTCATTTATATGTACATGATTACAACTGGCTTCACTTATATAAACATGATTACAACTGGCTTCACGTATATGTACATGATTGCAACTGGCTTCACTTATATGTACATGATTACAACTGGCTTCACTTATGTGTACATGATTACAACTGGCTTCACTTATATGTACATGATTACAACTGACTTCACTTATATAAACATGATTGCAACTGGCTTCACGTATATGTACATGATTACAACTGGCTTCACGTATATGTACATGATTACAACTGGCTTCACTTATATGTACATGATTACAACTGGCTTCACTTATATGTACATGATTACAACTGGCTTCACTTATATGTACATGATTACAACTGGCTTCACTTATATGTACATGATTACAACTGGCTTCACTTATATAAACATGATTGCAACTGGCTTCACGTATATGTACATGATTACAACTGGCTTCACTTATATAAACATGATTACAACTGGCTTCACGTATATGTACATGATTACAACTGGCTTCACTTATATGTACGTGATTGCAACTGGCTTCACGTATATGTACATGATTACAACTGGCTTCACTTATATAAACATGATTGCAACTGGCTTCACGTATATGTACATGATTGCAACTGGCTTCACTTATATAAACATGATTACAACTGGCTTCACTTATATGTACGTGATTGCAACTGGCTTCACGTATATGTACATGATTACAACTGGCTTCACTTATATAAACATGATTGCAACTGGCTTCACGTATATGTACATGATTGCAACTGGCTTCACTTATATAAACATGATTACAACTGGCTTCACTTATATAAACATGATTACAACTGGCTTCACTTATATGTACATGATTACAACTGGCTTCACGTATATGTACATGATTACAACTGGCTTCACGTATATGTACATGATTACAACTGGCTTCACGTATATGTACATGATTACAACTGGCTTCACGTATATGTACATGATTGCAACTGGCTTCACGTATATGTACATGATTGCAACTGGCTTCACTTATATAAATATAAATTAAGCCTGTAAATTTAAGGTTTGGTTTGTTGTTTTACGTTGCATTCAGCAATATTCAAGCTATATTGCGGCGGTCGGTAAATAATCGAGTCTGGACCAGACAATCCAGCGATTCACATCATGAACATCGATCTACGCAATTGGGATCGATGACATGCATCAACCAAGTCAGCGAGCCTGACCACCCGATCTCGTTAGTCGCCTTTTAGGACAAGCATAGTCGCCTTTTACGGCAAGCATGGGTTGCTGAAGATCTATTCTACCCCAGGTCTTCACGGGTCTGTAAATTTAAGAATTACTGAAGACTTTGATAGGCATTTAGAAAAACATTGAATACATGACACTCTTTTGTGGATATTTTTCGTTTATCCTTTGTAACGTCGGAGCAGACATCAAAGGCCGTAAAAACAATTAAGATTCCCCTTTTTTAGTGAACGAATAACCACGAAGAAAGCACTAACCTGTTAAAATTGCCACTTGTTTGGAAGATGTTGGATTGTTGTGTTTGTCTCAAACACACGAGGAACTTGGGACAGCCTCCGAAACATGCTTCATGCGAGTAGATACTGTGTATTGTCTACTGTCTGCAGTCTACTGTTGCTACCATCCACGTGCTCCGGAATACCTTGGGCGTATTCTGTCTGGTGCCTAGATTTGTTTAACGCCGTTATTTTAGTACCCCTGTGATCCCAAACAAATCCAATCTCATTCAAATCCGTTCTTAGACCTCGTTATCGCTAAACAAAGATCTGAGGACATCCCATTACGGGTTACGTCAGAACGACCTTTCGCGAACTTTGACCGACCACTGAAACGTCCAACAAAAATTCGACATCAGCAAGCAGGTTTCTCGAGCTTTACAGCACTCGTTTTAACCTGGTGACCTCCTTATCAGACTACGCATGGAAAATATGTTTACACAGTTCTCGATTAAAATTTTGAAAACTGAACATGTTCATGCATGGTGCATTATTTGGATCTTTACGAGTTTGTTGGGAGGTGCAAGATACTCACATACTTATTAAGACTTGTGTTTAACCATACATAACGCTTACGCAATGCCACAGCTTGCTGAAAATCAACGTATGTGCACCTTGTGTGTGCTGCAAACAGGAATGGCGCAAAACGAATTTACCAGACATTAAAATGTTCATCGAAACACAATATCATCTCTTGCACATATGGTACAAATCAAAATGGGGAATTGCATCGGACATCACTGGTGTCACTGATGCGTCAAATTTGGAATTGGCCTCCACATGTCATCTACTGAGGCCTTGGATGTTGAAACTCTGATCAAACACGTTTTGAGCAAAACTCGTATGACGGTCTTTTAAATGTTCGTACGTGCAGAAAGAGGATGCTCAACTAAGCCTCAAAATTTGTGAAATTGCTGGAGCTTTGGCTGGACATGAAAGGTACCGGCATTTTCAGCTTCCAAGCAGTTACGGAAAAACCTAAGCGCCACTCCTGTATTTTCATATATCCTGAACATTTAAAAAAACGTTGGAATATGACATTAATCTCATCTCATATCAAAGACACCACGGATGCCCGATTAAAAAAGGAACACCGTACATGTATGTCATCATTGATAGTTACAGGTTCACATGGTATGAAAAGAAGCACATTATGCACTAGGAAGGGTGCTCTAATAGCTATTGACTTGGAACAGTTACAAAAATACGGTATTTAAAACTATGACTGATGACAGAAAGGGTTTTATGTATGTGGAAGATAATGTGCCGAACACGTCTCCAGGTGTATCCATGTACACAGCACACCAATCCATTTCGGCAGTAGCTGGTTGGAGAACAACAGTTGGTATCATCAGTAGTTGATGGTGATCCACGAACATGCTTCTGATGGACATAAAGTCGGCCTCGTACAGCGGACTCTGCTTTTAGATATTCTGGCTTCAATTTCATCATTACTTTCTTCACGTTTTTGTCCAAAGGAATTTGTTTTGGCTGATAATCAAGACTGATTATTCTCTGCCGTTGACATTTTGAATTTGTACTTTTTGTATGGAAATAGTTTTATTGCTTGTATTTATTCAAATACTACAACCAGACATGTAAAAGAAAGTTTGGAAAAAGACCATGTCATATGCATGCAGGTTTACATAGTTATATAGATGACTAAACGAGTCCCCGTCAAACACCGTTTCTATTAGGAGTGTATTCATTTTCAAAACGTATCTAACGAGCTTAAGGGAGATACGTATTGAAATACGTTAGATTGTTTAGAAGAAATGATAAGTGTTTTAAAACCATTTTCATAATGGTCTAAACAGTATTGTTATAAAACGGTTAAAAGTATCATGCCCCATTCAAACAAAGGGGAAATATGTTAGTGTTTGCAGTACCATTCGGCTGATAGCCAATTTCACAGTGAATACAACCAATTCATACAATGCGTGCTCAAGCACAAAAATATTTAGCTTAATGTGATATTGTTAAAACATATATATATATATATATATATATATATATATATAGCTGGTGTCCCTTAGCTCGATGATAATGCCCGTGCCTACACTGCGACAGAAACAAGAGACTTCCTCCAGCAGAATGACATCAGAACCATGCAGTGGCCTGCCCCAAGTCCCGACTTAAATCTCATTGAGCACCTGTGGGACGAGATTCAAAGACAGCTGAATGACGTCCGACCAAGGCCGACAACTGCAGCTGAACTGCATCAGGCGTTCCTCAGAGTGTGGGCAGACACACGACATACTGACTTGTAAAGCCATTTTCTCAGGGACCGGTGTTGTTTCACTTTAAGAACATTTGACAATTTGATTTCAACCTTGATGATCAATTTTGCCAAGTTTCATTTTTTTAATATGTCTCAAAGTGTGTTTACAGTGTTTGGACAAATAAGGTTTCTCATATATCTATCAATGGTGACGTTTCTATTGCGGTTCAGTCTATATAATATCGTAATGTTGTTATCCCACCCATGGTACGTATAATACAAACATGACACATAAATACAAGTTCTTTGCATGTAGCAGTTGTGCTACAAAGGATAGTCTGCACACGACATAAAGGAATCTCAATATCCATTTGTAATAAGCCCACTGAAAACAATTGAAAGATAATGGGCTATGATGGACGCATGGCCGTATACCAAATAGCGTGATTGGTTTATGTTCGAGGTTTGCGTCCTCCACTCCAGTACTGAGGTGATGAAATTAATAGAAACAAGATTCAGCTCAACACCGTACACTTCTCTGCATAAGACACATACCAAGTTCACAGTAAGCTTTTCCAGATCCAGTCTCCAAACATCGGGAAGGCGGATTGCAGATCTTAGACGTGCAGGGTTTTGCCAGGACCTTCAGACAGCAATGAAAAGAACCTTGGGAGACTCTGTTTATATGTCTTTGCTCTTAGTGTAGGGGTTGATGTATTTAAAAAGGGTTTTCGATTCTTCGTGTGTTACCATCTGTGTGATGTAGGGGAAGCGTTGACAGTATTCGGCATGTGGCTGTGTGTGTGTGTGTGTGTGTGTGTGTGTGTGTGTGTGTGTGTGTGTGTGTGTGTGTGTGTGTGTGTTTTACAATTCCTTCTATAATTATCATTAATTCATAATTGGAGTACACAGGCCCATGAACATATTATATAAGACACTACAGGAGGCAAGTCATTGGGGATAATTATTGGTTTGACAATTTTGATGACGATTTTGATAAGCGTATAGCTCAGTTAGTTACATGGAAAAGTACAAAATAATTACCACAGTTTAATAACTTGGTAACTTTAGTATCAAACAGTATGTTAACTGTCATCTTAACACATTTAAATTACATTTATGTAACAGCAGACACTGCCTTTTTAGCTTTACCAAGTGCATCAATACATGAGGTCCATGAAAGTCATAATAACTACATATAATAACTAAATGATTGTTCTGTGCTGAAACTTTGGTTTGATAACCCAAAAAAATATTTTTCGTCACGTCGCAGAGGCCCCCCTCTTCTAAATGCCAAAACTTTCTGTCTCAGCCATATTAACTTGAAGACCCCATGGACAGAGCACACATCCCAGTAGTACACCACTTAAGGAATAAGTACACTGAGATGGAGCATTTAGATGTCCTAACGGCGCTCGGTACTTCAGAATATACATCCGAAATCCGGCTTCTGAGTCAGGAACTTTCTCAAGTGTAACTGCAAATATCGATCACTAAAAACTGTTGTAATACGTCAATTGATGTTATCCCTCTGTAGTTATTCACAACTTATGTAAAGTGAACGTGATACTTCAGATCAGCCTAGAGGACGTTTACCTTTTCTTAATAGTGTTGAAAGTTATAGTCAAATATTGCAAGATGGAGACACAACAACGTTTTGTCACTTCTGGAACAATACTATCTGGTCCACCAGACTTTCCACTCTTCAAACCCTTTCCAGCTTTTATAATTTCAGCATTGAAAATATTACTTAAATCATCACGATAACAGTTATCACATTTATGAATGTCTATTTACGTGATCTTCTTCATCATTAATATGGCATCAATAGAGGTTATCACGCGATTGTGTTTGGGGATTGTAAATATCCAGCATTAGGAATAAACATTGTATTTAGCGAGCCTTGGCGAGCTAAATACATAGTGTTTATCCCTAATACAGGATATGTACCATTCCCAAACACACAAGCGTGATAACTTCTTTATCATATAATGTCATGCTTTAATTCTGTGCTTCAAAATTGCTTTCCCTCTCTCACAAACATTACCGAAACATGCGAGTTTTCCTGGAATGCGCGCATTAATATATATTACGACATAGGGTAAGTGATGTGTCAGTCGGACAGTGACAGTAGCCAATATAGTTCCAACTGAAATCTGTTTCTTATACAGTGGCGAAGGAACATATACGCAAAACAACAATTGTTTTTATTTGCCTTTCGCGGCAATCCATCGGTCTGTCCGCTGGAGTAACTGCCCTTTGTCAAAGGGAAGCTACTCTAACCCTAGTCTATGAGACGTCACGGCCACTGTGAGACGTTGTTGACCGTCGGTCTGTCATAACGTTAAGAAGTGTAGTCAGATGTACACACAGCGACAAAACGAAACAAGGTAACAATTCAAACATATTTGGTTCAAAATCCAACTATTTTAATTTGTGGAGAAGGTTTCAAGTCGCAGAGGTCTACAAGCACAGATATGCCTACTGATCCCGCTTGGCTAGGCCTCGTGCCCTCGCAAAATTGTTTCGAAATTTATATCTCCAAAGTTGCCAAAACTTATAAAATGCCTTAGCTACGTCACAGTTAGACACTTATTTTCAGTATATTAGACTGTTCTTTTGATAATGATAGTAATTATCCCTGTAGTTTATCCAGATTCCCGATGGTTAATTCTGACTCGATCGCCAAATGACGAGGGCGACGCCATGTTTGTTTATAAACAGAGAAAGTAGTCCCTACTTGACCTTTGCATCTCTATCCGCATATGACCCCAACGGATATCGTTTTTATCCGTTGGCTTTATCCTGCCGAGAAACCTACTCATTATATGATAAACAGAAATATCAGTTGAATTAAAACGCCCTTGAAAATATTCAATCCACAATACATTGGATATGTCAGAGTTGTCTCTTGTTGATGTTTGAGTTATATTATTCACACCCTTGAGAAAGTAGTACTCTTGTGAATGATCCATGTTT